GAACCTTCTGTTGGATATAAAGATCTCGGGCACTTTAGTTCGTACTCCTCACCAAGTCAGTTAATTTTCGTACAGTTTTGGTGAATTCGTTCTCCCAAGTAACATTTACACTCGACCCTGCTCCAACAGCAACACTAGTGAGTCACTCAAATTTCGCTGCACACTGTGATGCTAAATTTCCTACTGTTATTTGTCCGTACTGCATATTTACTCATTTCATCATCCCCACTTACGCTTTACGTGGTCATACGCCCAACAGCCCACGGCCATGAAGCCCTATTAACGGTTTCGGTCTTTAGTTCAAATTAGCCGGCCAGGTCGCGGCAGTTCTGCTGCCTCTCCAGATCCATTATTCTGGCTCCATACTCCCTGCAGTTTTAATTTTTTGTCACGTTCTAGGCAGGAAGTTTTTTGTTATACCCTCACTAGTACTGTTTTTGCCCGCCACTTTTGTATCAGATCTTGTGCCATCTGATATGTTCTCCATAGGCGATGAAGAGCCCTTGTAATTTTGGATCCGCACCCATGCCACCTCAGATGTGATGAAGTCTAGTTCGCTAATGCCCACTGTTTACGTCACCGTCCCTTTTCCAGGAACTTCCCAATATTAACAACCCTCATCAGTCAGGCTCTTATTCTGACTGTAATACTGTGATCATGCCCGGCGGTATGCTACCCACTAGTTGGGAATAAGTATTATTATTATTACTATTATTATAATTTTTGAATCCCAAACCTCAACCCCACTCGAACCAAAAATCATCTCAGTTTAACTTCAATTCTCCCCATTTGTTTCACTTCATATCCCTTCCTAATTTTTGACCCGCGTTCCACCTTATAATTGCTAGCTCCAGATGTGACTACACATATTTTTGTTCAGAAATCGGAGGCTGTATCCCTTTCATTCACCACGACATTTGAGGAGGCGATAAATGAATTCATTCAGGATAACCGTGTGGTGTGTGCGCATTGATCCGGTAATCGAAGCACAAACACCGTTTATCGTTATACATGGGTGTACTACAAATGTAGCAGGCGGTCAGCAAGGCAAACAGAACGTCAAACGTGGGTCAAAAACTGGATGGCTGGGAGTATTTGTTATTAATAGAAGCACGCGAAGCACCAGCTATCCAGCACGTTTTCATGAATAGGCAGGAGAATAATCTGTCGGCCGCCCCTTGTTATTTTAAACACAACCATAAGGTTTCCAAGTTTTTGTGCGATTGGCTTGCGGTACACTGACGGTTAACCAAAAGGGAGCTGGGCATCTGCAGAGCCCAAATGAACAATGGAATGCCATCCTTTGAGGTGCGGCAGTTTGTAGCCCATAAATTTGCAGGGTTTTCACCACGCAGGACACACAACTGCCGCCGGAAGTGCTAGCTACCTCGGTTGGGTAGGTGATGTATAGTTATGTCTTGCTGTAGGGGATGATATGTCTTCGGTATTGATGAAAAGGAAGCAAGAACGCATGCTTGTGTTGCAGCCAAAAGGACTTCACTATGGCCACATACGTCTCTCCAAATGAAAGAAAATAGTGTTGTTTCGATGTTTGCTGAAAGTAGCAAATGTCGATGGGACTAATGCGACAAGCCGTTTGGGGTAAGTTTCTTTAAAGTAACAAATATTTGGCCCGTAGATACAAATCTACACCTTCCTGCTCAAGAATGGCATGGCTGTGGGATGTCCGCTTATGCATGCCTTCGTTGAAAGCGAACCATTTACCCCCATGGGTAAACTGCTTGGCTCATTCAGGAAAATGGTGGCAGGGAGTATCAACTTAATACTGATGTGATGGACAAATTGGCAGCGTAAATGCGGGCAGCAAGAGCAGCTTTCGGCTCCACTTCCACATTCGAAAGGGTATCAGGAAGCACATAAGTATTATATTACACCCGTGCATTTTTGGTCACGGACACTTCAGACATCCGGCACATATTCCACAGTATGGCTCGCCCTTACAATGCCATAAAGTAGGTAACTTGCTTATTGTAATAGGAGCATACGGATCCCAACTAACCCTGCAACTACTGCGTCCCACGGGCCCAAAATTTATCTTCCAACTCACGGCCAACTGGTAGTACATAACATGCAAACGGGCTTGTCGAGGTTCCGATAAGGAACTGTGGGTGACTTGTAGGTTCGACAGACACTAATATCAAAAGAAAGGATAAGGTTCGTAGTTCCAAGGTACTTTTGACACGAGGGTGAGCAAATATTTGCAACTAACCCCAATGTTTCAAGTCCACAGCGTCAACAATTGCACATGTTGATCACTTGTCGTCACGGTGCAGTGTCAAAGCCACCACACAGCGACCGGAATGATGGCTTAGTTGTGTGGCTTGCAGTCGTCCCTTCTGACGACAGTCTCGTGATTCTCATTGACCACGCGATCACACAGGACTAAAGGGAGGGCAAGTCAAACAGGCTCAGCAAGCGGGACATGAACGCGCACGGGTAAGTAGGTCAGCTACGCACATTCACACATACCAATACATAAGTGTCAGACGCGACGGTCCTTGTCGCAAGGTGGGTGGCGGGGACGGACAAGCAAAACAAATGGAGATCAAAAGTGCACAGACGGAGTAAGCGAATGAATGGGCGAATTATAATATAGTCAATTTAGATTCAACAGGGGTGTACACGAACAATCCAAAATGGTCCAGTTTGGTAATGTGACCAACAGCCGTCTGGAGAATGCAAACGACCGCCTGAAAAACCGGGTGCGGAACTCAAACCGGAACATGCCGTACAGGTGTCCCTCTACGCCGAGTGGATCATGTGGAAATCTGATGTGCATTCTTCATATCACTTCGATCGACAGGAAATCCTGCAAGGCGAAAGCCACGTTCTGAATCTTGTTTGCCAAAGGGACACGTATTCATTCTCCCACGCTTAGAGACACTTTGGGTCGTAACCCCAAATCTTTAATATCGCCGCGTTGAAACAAGCAAGGTGACTTATAGTTCCCGGTGAAAACACCCGGATGCTCTCAGCTGGTTAGCACCTGTGCTCAGGAATGCACGTGCCGCTTCTGGCAGGCGATGTGGCTCCCTTGAACCCAATTGTCCTCTGTATCTAGAGACCATTGAGTTCCAGTAAAAAAGAAGCATTCTTTATAGATGCCTGTTCCTCCATCTACCGACGGTGGCTGTTGGAATAAACTTGCCGGAACGAGGTATTCCCCTTACTCTTCTTAAAAGACACCACCGACAACATCCAGCGTGAACAACTGGATCGCGTGGTGAATAAGCTTAAGGGACTGAAACTTAGAAGGGCAACAGCCGTCACTTGACTTTTGACTGTTCAGGAACAAATCTTGCGGCGCCAGGCCCTGACATCTGCAGATGCTGACCTACTGTTGGTGGTCAAGGATACTCCACCTCAGCCCAGGGGGGTCTGAGAACACATACTTGGGCTTTTGTGTGCTTTGTGACCAGTCGCCTACTACCAGTGACTGCCGTTGTGCAACGGATCGCGTATCATATCACGTCGACTGTTGTGATGGCGAAATCTTGTGACTCATCTGCTCCAGGCTGTTCGTCTGTTAGCGAGACCTCGGGCATCCCATGGAAGTCTTGTATTCCTTGAGGGCTATAGTCAGTGGGTACAAAACTACAAGTACTCATGCAATGCAAATCAGCCGCTGAAGATGTCGGCTTCTATGGCGGATTCTATGAGATTGTGTTTGCTGGAATCCTCCCCTCAAAGGATAAGTATTGCTTCAAATTTGTCAGCTGCCCGTCGCATGGTGATATTTGAATAACCTAAGTTATATCTTCCTGCCAGTTTAGGATACTATTAGCACAGTGTACACTGCACACAAAGAAGGCCGCCCGCTCCCTAGCAGTACATATGCACCAATCAAAACGACCAGTAAAATTCAGCTTATAATTTCGTACAATTTGGACCTTCCACTTTTCCCGGTGGAGACGGGTGGGTGCGCATCGGCTAGTTGATTAAGTATCGTGGCCCCCTGCTGCACGTTAGTCGTGTGCGACATCTAGGTACGTTCGGCCATTCACTATGATCGACGCAAGTTCTATGGGGCTAGTTGATTAGATATCGTGGACGCCTAACCGTGTTTTAGTCCCCTGCATCAGCTGGGCTGGTTCATTTGTTCGCTATTAATGACGACATGATCTTCCTGCCACATTTTGCTGCTTACAATGGAGGACTCTACTTTTGCCAACTAGCTTACACAGGTCACGAACAGCTGTGATTCTTACGTTCTTCAAAGTCACATAATTTATTAAACGATTATGAATGCGAATTTCGCGATGATAACAGAAAAGATATTATCGATGTCCCGGAACATATAGTTCGGTATTCGACATGTCAAGTGGGCATTAATAGGAAGATTATTTGCAGGATTGAGATCTTCGCATATTTTACATCCACGAGGACAATGTATTTTCCAGAAAAGTCAAGGAATTATTTCAGTTGCAGAACTATTTGCAAATTTAGTCCATTGCGGGCGATTCACGTCCACCACGATCCTCGATATCTTGTTTCATTAAGCACTATTTTCAAAGTTGGTGGTAACTGACGGCTTTGAAGGTTCGCTTTCCCAAGCAAATCACCCATGAAACTTATTTGCAAACAGGTTAAAGAAGATATTATCCACAATGTGGTACTTGTCCTGAAAATGTCGTAGCTTTAGAGAATTCAGCCCCATCGTATGGAGGGTAAACGAAAGAATTTGACTTTTGTTGCTAATGTAGCCAACCGCCAACTTGGTTGGTGGCCAACATTTCGGAGTCAGATTTAAACAGCGTCAATAGACCACCAGTGTGGGAACGATCATGCTTCGTATATGCTTATGGTTATGTAGCCGTTGTACCCTGACCCTGTGGCATTTTCAAACAACCACTGTATCTGGCAGTTAATCGAAAGTTTTCAAGAGAATTAGCAATCTAAAGGGGAGTGCTTAAGTAGCCTTAAATAATGATTTCGTGGACAAAAACCTAGTATAAACCGCAGTGGATGTGTATAGGCTTTCACCGGGGGGTGCCATCCACGGCGTGAGGGCCGCCTGCTGGGATTTGAGTAAACTGAGGACCGCCGTCTACAATAACCTGGATCGACAGCAGTAGACGGCCTATGGGACAAACACTAAAGTATCTGGTCGTACTTGGAGGGTGGGGACCAGTAACGGTAACCTCGGCGGATTGAGGGAAAGCGTGATCAGTACACAGAATACTCTTGGTGAGCCAAGGAGCACAATGGCTTTTGAACCCATTTGAGGGGACAACAGGAACAATAGAAGTAGTCTGTTTGAACAAAAAATATGAAGGTTGAAGTAAGTTGGAGGTGGTCCGAGGGTACATGTTGCGCTCTGGAGCTGAATCAATGGTAAGAGGGGATTGTGTTTCACCAAAAGGATCAGTTAAGCAGGTGAAGGGGGTTCTCTGCAGAAATTTTTTAGCCCATCGCTGAGGGATAATGAATACCAATCTGACTGTCAATTAACACAGACTGTGTAGCAGTATTTTGTTTACTTGGAGCTATTGGTCAAAGCAGAGGAAAGACCGAAGGAGGTCACTCAGCTGAACCGAACTCAGAAAGTGGGGGAGGGACGGGATACACTAGGTGGTGTGCTGTGCGGTTTAATGCTCAGCGGGGTGAAGGCTAAGCATCTGGAAGACAGCTGGAGCACCATAAACAGAAAGATGAAATCAGAGTGGCATCCAGACTAGCAGAGACAAAAAAGTCGCAAGGAGGCGGGCGGGCGCACCCAAAGGTAGTGATTACGGGGAGGGAGACACCCGCTATGATGGAACTTTGCTGGATTGTGGGCTACTGCCCTGGGAGTTGAAACCAGAAGGAGTGTGTGTATACATGCACCAACCCCTTCAGAGTCCATTTTCAGGGTTCACAGAGTTTTTCCTGATATATCCCAGCAGAACAGCACAACGGGATCTCGTGTTTTCAAGTGGGATGATAAGAGATGGAGGAATGTCGGCGTGGCGCAGGTCTCGCTTTGGAAAGCATGTCAAGTGATTCAGAGGAGAGAGGTCCCTCAAGCCCGTCAACAATCGCACGCAAAAACAGTGTGAGTTGTAGGCTCTACGAAAAACACAGGAGGTATGAAGAAGGGTAGAAACTTCGCCTGGTGCGGAACGAATACAGTTTAAAGAAGCCGCCACAAACTAGTGAGGCATAATCGCCGTATTATGTCCAGAACGCATGTATAAGCAAGCGAGAAGTTAAGTAATTTTCATCTACGCAACCTATACTTCACAATGGTGTACACACACTGAACGCGATTGGACTGAATGGAAGTTCTGGGTCAGTATTGATGTGCGTGAGCCCGGGAATTTGAGCGAGCTGCTCTCAGCGTTGGATTTACCGCGTCATGTCGGAAAGCAGTTCAGCTGCACCAAATGAATACTTTCTAGAGGTGAGTTGCTATTAGGAAGCAAAGTTGATGTCTAGCAATGTTTAGAAGCTCATGCTTTCAGGCTGCATGCAAAACATAATACGAAGACAACATATTCTACTCAGTTACCAATGGTCAGTTGGTCGTCCGAAAGCACTGATAGCCAAATCTGCTCTCTATGAGAATATATTACAGTGTGTACCGATAGCAGAATAGGGCGAACAGCATTCCAACACATATCTTGTGGGACACACCGCACCGCAGTAACTGGCAAGATAGAACCTGAGGGATCGTGCCTATTTCATCCGGTTTTAGATAACATTTACCCATCTTGGATGACCAGTATGTAATCGTGCGCTCTACAGAGCAATGACCTGTTTCAAGAGGTTGTAGGCAACTTTGTTTCATCCAGAGCGAAATTTGCAACGCCACTTGTCCCAGTTGAGTTAAAGAGTGTGACCCTACCCTAAGAAATCATCTGTTGGTAGTTCGTAGCCTTGCATATAAGAATAGACATAACTGGCTTCAGACGAAGCCAACATGCATGAGACTCCCAGGTTCAGAAAGCAATGTCCAGCAAACAATGTACGACATATTTCGGTCGCGTGACGGATGTGAAACCTGCGGCCTGCCGTCAGGACAGAAGATTTGACCGTAGATGATCAAGGTGGACGAATTTTTAAAACGGTCGACGCAGAGGACAGACGTTTTCTCAGTATTATCCAGATAGTTCATTTATCCCATCAGCAAACCCAAAAACGCAACTCTGGGGATAACATGAGTGTTCCACATTCGAACGATCGCAAGTAGCGAAATTCATGTGGCTTTTATTCCACCACATAGTTTCTGTGATCAGAAAAATAAATTTGGGCAACCATATTTTGTTGTAACTAGCATCACTATATCAGTCTGGGAACTATAGTTTAAGCGCGATAAGAAACAAAAGATTCACGAAGAACCTTCCAGGAATCGCCGGAGAGAGTGAAATTTGACTGCAGCCAAACTCATGTACATTGATTAGGGACCCAGGGAGGTAAGACTGAGGAGAATTTCCTTCTACTGAAAACTCAAATAATCCGATACGGGCCCCGGTGAGATTGTAAGATAGAGGGCGTGAAAAAG